TTAATAATATTTTTCTCATATTGAAAGCACTTGAAATCTCGATAATTGAGCTAGCTATTATCATGATTGCTTAACCCTTTCGAGCCTAATGGGATATATGTGTCCCACGATTTTTAAAAATTATTGAAACGTTGCAAATACATTATGAAGTATTATCAAATGTCCCACTCGCATTTTAAGGTTTTATCAGTATTTCAATGAATATTGCGTTATAATTTATACCAACTGGTCATTGGAAATCTAGCATAAAGCTATCAAATACATACGTATATACTGTGATCTCGCAAGTTTCTACAAATTTTCAAGTAAATATCTATATTTTTAAGTGAATTCTGCTTTCAACATGATATCGCGGTTGACATTAGGTAGGTAATCTTTCCCAGTGGATAGTTACCATATAGTTAACAAAATTGATTCAAGTTTTTGGTCATGAGAAGAAATTAAAATTTAAAATAAAAGTTACTTTGAACAAACGCCGTCGTCAATATGGCAAACCTTAAAAAAATGCATCAACAATTATGAATGCGGATCAAATGCGCATAAAACCAGAAAAAGATGTTATAATTTGATGTAATATTTCTTTGTGTTTAAATTTCTTCCATAGTTTCCAAACGTAAATTATATTATAATTAGAAGTTTCAATAAATAATTAACATAAAAATTAACAGAAAAAAAAACATGACAAAAGGGAATATGAAAAATAAATAATCACAAATTTTAACTGCAACTTATTGATCTACAGTTTTGCAATTATATAATCCGTATGTGCATAAAATACTGTTTAAATTTATTTGTGATTAATTTTGTAAGTTTATTTTTTAAGTATTATACAATCAAATATAAAAATATGACACAGTCTTATATCTATTTTTTAAGCATACATATTTTAACTATTACGTATTTATACTAATACATATTTTAACTATAGTCCGGCTAGTCGATTCCGCCAATAACCCCGGATTATTTGAAATCTGTCTAAAATAAACATGCACAAAAACGATGATTTCTGCATTTTTGTAGATTTTATTTATATTTTGCTCAATTAAAATTTAATTTCTTTTGAAATGTTCACTATTGTCCTGTTTGTATACTTTTTGATCGCAGTGAAATGGATCCAAGAAACAAACAGAAAAAAAAGTAGTAAAACACTTACTAGAATAAATTAATATATTTCTAATTTTGAAAATAAATAGTACGAACTGAAACAAGCACATGAATGAAACACAAAGAAATAAGCGTCAAGTTTCAGTAAAAATTAATGAAGATTTTTAGGCAACCAACCTTTCAATTAAATAATGAAAAACAATGTATCACATAAATGTATCCATTTCATTCAATTTTGTAATTTGAAATCAATTTTAAAATAAAACTGAAATAATTTAGATAGAACAAAAATATTCTATAGTTATATTTTGTTATAAAAGCGAGATAAAATAAAATTTGAATACATAAAGATATTAAATAAACTAAACAAAAAAGTATGAAAAAAAAATATAATTTCAAGAATTAATCAAATTCATTATCGTTTATAAAAGTAAAATGTTGTAATCATTATTTTTAATATAATTGTCAGTCAATAATGTATGTTGCAAGTTAAAATAATATTACTAAACCAAAACTTAGCATTAATAATTTGTAATAAATAACATTTAAGTTTTGTTATTATTTATTAGATAAAAGTATTTTATATTTTGAAAACATTCTCATATACAAGGTAGTACAGATTAAAACGAGTTCAATGTTTAAGAGTAGTTGCTTTGAATTTCATAAGGACTATGGAAACATACCATAGTAAATAACGATTTGGTAACAGACGTTCCGAGGAAATTATTGTGCAACTACATGTTATTCGTATTTATTTTTACCAATAAGCAATTTATTTCAAATATCTCCACATGTTATATAATGTTACTTTTTTAATGCATGTAGTTGAAATATGAATAATATACAGTTTGTAATATTATATTTATCTTTATATCGAGAATTGAAAACAAATGAAAATTATTTGTATTATAATTAAATAATAATTTTACCGGAAAGCAAAAAACAAATAATAACCCACAAAATACAGCAGAACCTTGCTTAACGAGCATAATCCGTTCCAAAATTTTCGGATTTTCGGAAAAAAAGTATAACTTCGTCTCAATTTTTAATGATTTTAATACATGTTTCATATCCAAAAAAAGTTCATGCGGTTTTTGATGGCAAAACATAAAAATGTATTCCCTATCTGGTGAAGGTGCAAACGAATAGTTTCATCACTCACATTGAACATTTCTGTAAGCTCTAAGCACCTTGCGCTGAAATTTGCTTCTACGACTTCTTTAACTAGGTCTTTCCGTCCGGAAAAATAAATTTTCAAAAACAGAACACCATTACAGGGCAATCTGAAATACATGTGGGATACTATGATTTGAAAATGATATCTGGATTTCGTAGAACACATAATTTGGAAAGAGAGGAACTTGGTTTTTCTTTGCAAATAAATTTAAGGGAAAGGGAGATACCTGTCAAGGAGAGGAACAATTTTGGTTTGAGAATAAAGGAGATCATGGAGATGGTTGTGTAGTGGTTTATTTGGATGTCGAATTTTGGTGAGAAAGCGAATGACAGAACATTTGTATATGGTGAGTTTTCAGCAGTGGGAAAGTAGAGGGCAACCATAGTCAAGGATTCTATGGCAAATTGATTTATTAATTTTAATATTGAACTGGAGATATTTAGAGTGGAAATTTAGAGTTAAGTATTTAACAGAGGGCAAAGGGTATATGGGTTGTTTATCGAAGGTAACATGGGTAAATACGAAAAAGAACGAGGAGTTACGTTTTGGAAGAATTTATTTTTTTAGGCCACATGTTGAACCAGGATAAAAATACGGAGAAGTTTTGTAAAATGTTAATAGAAAATTGAAGAGTGGAGTCGTGCGAAATCAAAGTTGTATCGTCGTAGATTAATGGGTGAAGATGTTCGATCAAAGGTATTTGCATCGGAGTTATAATAGTCGGAGCAAATGTGAACCTTGCAAATATACAATATATTTACATATAACATGTTTTTATGTAACAAACTCAAAACAACATTATTGGGTATATAATCAAGAATGAAAACAATAACTTAAAAAATAATAAAGAAAGAAACAATAATTGATTAAATTTTCGTTATATACCAAACTATTGTGTAATTTGTAAATTTAAAACCAGCCCATAATCAACTTATAAAAACCATATAAATAACTACTAACTCTGATTTGTTTTTCGCGGTGCACAGTTGGTATAACCCATGAGTGTCAAGGCAGAATGAACCTTTTCTTCTGCAATATAAACGTTAAATTGTCTACTGCATACACATTTAAATTTTCAAAACTAACTGGATTAAAATAGTTTTTGTTCGAGTCTCATCCGTTACATAATACATTAATAAATGATCTTTGTTTTGTTAATGTATCAAACTTATTTCGTATTTGCTATTGTCAATTATTAACTCATTGAATAAATTTTGCTTTGTTTATTAAAAATTAATGAATATGAATATTGTTTTTTGTTAAAGTATTGAACTTTTATTATAACTTAATAGGTTATTGTTAATGACTCTTTTATACATGCTATACGGATGTTGATAATAATCAGTATTATATATGTTGTAGGTGTAAACAAAATTTAATTGATACTTTTAAGATTTCAATCTACAATACAATAATCCGTTCTAACATATTTACTTAATGCCGTATTATCAGTTGTAAACAAATATTGATGAAAAGATAAGTACTTTCCAAGTCAATGAGAGTAAGTATTTAATAAAGAAAAGAGCAAACAAAAAATATCATATATTTATTTATATAATCAAAATAAAGAGAGAATTATTATTCCACTAAACGTATGCAAATATTCAATCAAATACAGGTATTCTAAAAGCTCTAACTTGTTACAAGGGCAATTTATTTAATAAAATAAATTTTGGAAGATGTACTATCTGTTTTGTTGCATTTGTTTCTTTTGTCGTTTTTATTAAATAATTGTAATATCTAACATATATAAAAGTAAAAACCATGATAATGTGTGGTAAGATAAATATATTTAGAAATTTTTAAAATTCCCCCGACTTATGAATAAATTCCACTTACGAACAACCCTTTGGAACCTTTATTATTATAAAAAAATATATATTTTATAAATCTACAATTAATTTAATATTATTACTATTTAGCCCCATGGTCGATATCCATATGACTTATTTGCAAAATAAAATAAAAACTAGTTTTTAGCAGCTCATAAAATTACAAATAATGTTTGTCTTTCTTTGTTGTGAAAAAAATGGAATTGTTTGTATGAATTGTTTTGATTTCACTCTTATGAAGAGGGGCGCATTATTATTAGTTGCAAATTATATATATATATTTGTATTATTTTAAAATAATAGATAAAGAAAACTAAACGCAATTGTGGAAAATATTCTGTATTATAACTAAATCCCTGTAATTTAAGTAGATACATTGTCAGGATGGTTAAAAATGTCTTAGCTATTACATAAATGCAAGGAAATGTATCGTAAAGATTAAGTAACGCGCGATGGAATTTCAATGTTTACGGGGGTCGAAATTACGTTCATTTTTCATTAGGCAATAGCTAGAACTAAACGGTTTTTAATTTTCAAGTTCGTTTATCAATCATCGAAATTTAAATAGGAAATCAAGACCCAATTTAGATTAGTAAAATAGTTTTATATCGAATATATTCTGTTTTCAATTAGTAAATGTATTATTTGCGATGTATAATTTGTTGACTATTGATCGTAACGTTACATAAATGCGGCGAAGAATGAATGGTGTTCCTATCAATTTGTTTGCATTTTTTTATACTTTGCATCACCGCTGCTCTTTTATTTATTTATTTGTTTGCCAGTTAATAGGTATCAATCGGCCTCAAAATGAATGGCGTGCGAATTACGGTGCGGAAAGGTGGGGAGACATTGTTGGGTAGGCTCAGACACATTCGTGAGTATACATATAAACACAGGCATACTTAGAGTGAGAATAGTAGTGGATTTTTGTCAGTGACCAAGCACATGGTTTTCGACTTGGAAGAAGTTTGTATAGTCTGAAGGCGACTATCGAAGGTGTGCGTTGTGTCAGTACTAGTTTTGCGTGTCCTCATCAGACGGAATCGATCTCCCCCAAAGAAGAGAAAAAAAAGTAAAACACATACCTTCTCCCTTGGACCGAGAGCATTCTTTTCGATCCCTCGCTATTAAAGCCCATCAAAATCTGGATTGTATCACAGATATCGACAATTGCAAATACATATAGGCATTAAAGCGAAAACGAAAAGAATCGTCAATCCGAAATAAAGGTACGTTCCAACCGTTCACTTAAGTGAAACCAATTTACATTGAAGATTTTAATTGAATGGGCAGACGCAATCTGCAGATTATTCATTTATTGTTCGCGCGTTCGCATTCATTGCATTTACATCGAAATCACAATAATTTGAGCAAGATTAAAAACACATTTCTTGCTTTCAATTTTTTATTTGGGTTTTTATTGCAAATCCTAAAATATATTCGATTATTTTTCCAATACCTCACAGTTTAAAATACGTTTAAAACATGATTACAAAAACCGCTAATTACAAGCAGCTGTGTTTAAGTCGACTAATCGGTTTTAAAATAGAGATTTTTGTTGTAATTAATAATTGCATTTATATAGGTTACTAAAAATACATTTTATTCTTCATATTAGACACTTTGTTTAAAAATAAATTCTTAAACTCGTTTAGAGCATGCAAAAATCTACCGAAAAATGGGTTGGCTTTACGTTAAGCAAATCTGTGTGCACATTTGGGAAAGTCCAAACCAGTTGTTTTCGAGACCCTAAGTTTAAGAACCGCTCTCGTAAACCAGACTATCCAATGCCATAGCTAATAAAAATACACTAGTTTACATTACAATTTAGTTAATGAAAAATAAATCTAAACCCTTTCGGAAACTTCTACAAAAAATATATTATTTATATAAAAACTTAAGATTAACATTTAAATTAAGAAAATAATTTTTATAGTAATTATCCAAAATATTACAATTTTTGAAATGGATAATTATGTTATTGTCAACATTCTTAATTATATATAGCTTTGTTCACGGAATCCTAACTGCAATTGATTTATTATTGTTGTTAGTGTATTTTTTTCATGAAATATACCTATTCCATTTCCGTTCAACGATAAGTAAACGAAATCGGAACAGCTAACCGCAATCTGCATTGAACGGATGAAACTGCAGATCAACTGCGGATGTTTGCTCAGTGGAAAGTTTTCCGTTTTGAAAATCTCGTCGCAGCCGAAAGGGCGCAGGCCATAAATCTTATCGTGACGCAAAAAAAAATATGTTCGACACCGAATATGAACACATTATTTTTTCTGTCACTCGACGATTATGTTTTCATACTTTCTAGTTGTTTCTTTATCGCGGTTAGGGTTTTTGGGATAAGTAATGTTGACCTTCCGGGAAATAAAAGGTCCAATTTAGTCAAAATGTTTAAACAAATCAACTATCAAAATACTCTCTAAAGCACAGGTTTAATAAGCTCAAAGCATAATCTTTCATAATAATATAATTTATTTTTTACCAATAAAATGTTATCAAAATTATTTAATTATGGTCGGAAATTACCACAATAGATTTTTATAATTTTTTATTTCACACTTTTTTGTTATCAAATATTTATGTAATTGTAATCAAAGGAATATTTTTATTATATATTTAAAATAATAATATTGTCAAAATAATCAAATAATTAACACATTTGATATATTTTTCACATTAATTACAATATTTTTAATCCCGTTTAATTCTTTAAATCTACGACAATTATCTTCTTATATATTGATAAACAAATTTTGTTTTAATAGATTCGTCATTGCTGTCTTTCATTGTAATTATCGATGATTAATAACATTCTTAATATAATGAATGGAAAACAATATTAAAGTTATTATTAATTTCAGTTGGTACAATTGTTGCATTGTACTAATAAAAATAAAAAGTGACAGGACAAATTAAAAACAATTTTATTTTTTTTATTTCAAATAACCTTCACATTGTGACAGTTAACACTTTAATGCGAAACGGTTTTTGACTTCATTTATAATGATATACTATTAATAAGTTAATAACGGTCTAAAAATACAAATAATAATAGTAATCTAGATCAAAATTTGCAAGTTAATATTTTATTTATTTATTGCTCCTACACAATTTGCACATTACTATTTGATAATTATTTAAAATTAGTAGAATACCATAGGTATTTGGTTTGCATTGGAAAACTACTTAAATAAACTACGAGCATATCCGTGTACGATTTTCGTGATTCATCCTACTACTGACTAATATTCTGTGGATAATGATTTGTTTTTAATTTTTTAACTGAGATAGGCAATAGACTAAATAGGACACCTTTCAGGTCATTAACATTTATTACTTTAAATATCGATAAATAAATAATAAATATGTCAACTAATGACTACTTATTTATTAGAAAAAACATTATTTTTTTAAACAATGTCTCAAAATCAACTAATGATGAGGTATTTCTTAAAGACAATTAATATTTGTCACATTGGAATTTATGATTATTGTATAATTATAACTATATTCATCACATTTATCGCAATAACTTTTAGTAAATTGTGAAACGTAATTGAGTATTTACGCTCACGTATTAGCAATGCACGTGCTACTTGTTAATTTTCAATTATTAATTTAACATGCAATTTAATATTACGTTTCTACGTGTTTTTGTCTTTAATGTTGTTATGATAATGAGCTTTATAGATTGTCATTACATAAACATAACCTTTTAACAGATGATTATTTTTCTTCTTTTAATATATTAAGATTTTTCGTATTAATTTCAGAATCGTTGTGCGACTTGATAAAAGTTAAACAACTTACTTGTAGGTGAATAGTTGAGTGGGTGACCTAAACTCTGCTTCCATACAAAAATAGAAGGAAAATAATATGCTTCTATAAAAAGTCGTACCACCATTCTAATTTACATATTTTGGCATCAATCTATCAAAATGCAAAAATTGATTAAAAAAAATTAACCTAAAAACTGAACTTATTGTGTTAATTAAAATAACTAACTAATAATATTTATTAATCACAAATGTGACTAACTATTTTTTAATTAAATATACATTTTTTAATATTTAATATATTTTATCAATAGAAATGTTGGTAGTAGTAGTAAATATTTTTGTAGAATTTATTATTTTTGTTTTATTAATTAAAGTTGGCAGTAAATATTTTTTACGAGGTTAATTATTGTTACTTTAGCAAAAAATATTCATTTAATCGCAAATTGTTGAGATTAGCAAGAAATAAATTAGATATAAACATACTGATATAACGTTGCCTCATTTAAATTCCTTGCAATATCTGGACTGTTGCTAAATATTTCCGGTACATAAAGCATACAACTTGACAGTGGCCGGTGCGAAACAGAAACGGAAAGAAAAAAATAAAAACAGTCTTTTTTTGCTTTCACTTACACGCGTCTTTGTTTGCGTAATTAATCGCGAACATACATATACTTTATGTAAACCGCGAAAATAAAAAAACAATCCGAACACGCGAATGTTTCTTCCTTTTTAATTTAGTAAACATTCTCACTTAAAATGAAATTCCGATTCGATAAGGATGTTATAATGCGGTACTTATTTATTTATTTTTTGTTTTATTGGACTGTATTTAATTGATAAGTCAAGCAATTTGGAGCGACAGGAAAAATCTAGTAGGAGAGAAATCTGATGACCTGATAAGATGACAGTGGCAATCTGCGATCAGATGAGACAACATTGTTTTGTTTTTATTTGTTGTATTAGTATTATGTTATTAAGTACATATCGCTCGATTGTTATTTTTTTGTGTGTGAGATGACAAACAGATGAAAGTGATTCGCACTTTTCGTGCCGTGGAAATTTTCGTATCGGAAATTTACGTAACGCGCGCGAGAAATTGAAAATAGTGGAAACGTTGAGGACTTAATCTAATACGTTGATAATACCGACGCGTGCCTTTCTAATTAAATAACTTAATTGATATAATGAAGTTTAGACGTTCCATTTTTTTTATTGTTTTTGGAGTTGGCAACATTGGTTAGGACAAATTCAAACTAGAAACCGAAGCAGTTTCTTGGTAATGAGAATCCTCAAATTGTTTAAACGCTTTAATTGGATAATTCCATAATTAGCGTCTACGAAACATTGCAGATAGATGCGTTTCCTTTTTGTTTGTCTATTAATGAATTTTCGTAAAACGCGACTAGGAAATGTTGAGATCTCGCCTCTCGTGTTCTCTATCGTTGCCAGCGCGTTCCAAATACACGAAACTAATTTTACGGTGACCCAAAATTTCCGCCGAAAGAAACTCTCATTTTTTTTATGTTTTTCTCGTTTCTGTTGCTATTATTAATTGGTAATTGGCAAAATAGACCAACCGATTAACTGTTTATTTACAATTCATTCGTTTGTTTTGCTGCGCTGCTTCTTCTACTTATTATTATTATTTAAACGTGAACTTGAACGATGGAATAAACAAATCTATACGAATACATAATTTATTTGCATCAAATGCCGATTACATTTTAGAATGTTTCTCAATCGATTTGAAAGGATCTTAAGTTTAGAACAAATCATAACCATTAGTGGTAACCATAGTTATTAAAGGGAGATTTTAAGAGGTTTAATCTTAATCTAAAACTGTGATAATTTTGTTTATGTTAATAAATTCGTCATTGGTATATTTCTTTATAATTATCGATGATTGTTTCTTGAACGATGAAGTAATAAATCTCTGAAAATACATAATTCGTATTTCAGTTAAAAATTGAATTGTTTTTAAAATGTTTATTATTTTGAAAGAATTCCAATGTAACAATGGAATTGATTTATTGTAAAAATCTTCAGAATGTTCTCAATTTTCAAGTCCTGATTACTAATAAAAATAAATGTTATTCCCTACTTGAAACTTGCCAAGTAAAGTTTATTGGTATGAAGATGACATTACTTTGTAACACTCGAGATGTTACTCCATGAAAAATGTGTTTTTTTGGTGAATTAACAATATTATTAATAAGAAAACAAATATATTAAAATATCTATATCAATGTACGTGGTAATTGTACACAAATATTAAACGATTAGGTAATTCCATGCAAATTCTTTAAAAAATAGATACTCATTAATTTAGCCATGATTGTAAATAGAATTTCTGAATTTGCTTCAGTTCATAGAAAGACCCCAGTAAAATTTCCTTGCGGTCGAATAGAACTATTCCATTAAACTGA